TCGTTGAATACACACGCCGGGATTAAAAAGTGTCGCGGCAATGTGCGCCGAAGGTATACGCAACGTACACTCCCGGAATGCTTCGGGGTGTAAACATATTTCCTATTTGTATTCTATCCGGACGGTATCCTGTATTCATCCGAGTCGCGCGCGGCGAATTCATCCCCGCTTCATCCTTCGATTTCACCCCCGCGACGCATGCTATCCGGAGGTGGTGGGGATGAGACGAAGAGACAGAGCGAGAGACGACGTACTTCGTGTATCCGTGTCGTACGTGTATACGTATATACGCCTCCCCCGACGTATGCTCGTGCACATGTGTACACATGTATGCGTACATGCGTCGTCGCATTTGCTCCCCCGTAATATTAAATGTAAGAGAGGATATTTCAATATTGGTCGGCAAACACACAAATAGCACGGGCCGTACATACGCCCTTTCGCCTGCATCGTGCAGTGCACACACGCCCCGTGTCGCCGCATATCCCTACTGCAATCGTCCGGGAGATCTCGGGCGGAGAGGCCCGAGAAAAATGCTGTCGCTGCGCCTACTGACAGGCGGGACGTGTCGCCCGAAGCTTTCGCGAGACACGAATACGATTTTTCTAAAGCGTAAGGAAAATTCGACACTTTCCGTACATCCGTCGATCGCGTCGCTTCGTCTGGATTGAATCAGTCGATTGGAAAACACCGTATAAGGACACTTTCGTATCTCGCACTCGTTTATTTGTCGTCTGCCTTCAATCAATTAATCCACATTTTATAAAACAGATGTTTCGATTTAATTAATACATCATATAACAATTTTTTAAAAAATCTCGATTACAAAACAGAGATTTTAGATTATTATATAGATGCACAGTTTATATAATGTGTCCAGATTCAGGCTTTTTCTCTCACGATTTAAAAAGTGGGAAATGACAAGAGGGATAACTGTTTAAATAGCTTACCTATCTCAAACCTTTACCTGAGCCACTCAATGACAGATTCACTCAATGAGGTTGAAGCCGATTTTCCCTCGTCAAAAATGTGCCCGTTGCTTTATGTACCAAAGTTCGTGAAAGTCGTTAATTGTCATATACTGGGAATATCGATCGACCTAGCGCGAGAGGGCCGTGGTATTCGCCTATTATTTTTATTCAGCCGCGTATCTCGTTGCACATCCCGGTGGATGTAAAAACAAAATATACCGGCAACAACTATTTAATAAAAACAAGGCATTATACCGCCGCCAAAATAAAACATGAAAATAAAAGCAGTTTTCGTAATTTTATATACGAGAGATACGATATTAAAAATTGCACTTGAATCGATGTGATCCATCCTTGTGTCCCTTATGCATCGTAAAATACGGCACGAACTTAGGCATTTACGCATGTATATTGCATCGATCTTCGAGGTAAAAGCTGCAGCATGAAAAGTTTCTCAAGATACAATATTTTATTTTAATGAGAGAGGAATACAGTCTTCTTTTTACTTATAGAATATGCTGGTAAAGTTTTGTGGAAAAAACTGGGACACCCTGTGTGTGTATATATGTATATATAAGCTATTATTTTGTTTTAACAGCGCAAATTAAATTGGAAAAAAAACGATGTAGCTGAGTGAAATTTGCGATTATAAGTTGACGCAATATATCATCTCTTATATTTTGAAAGCTTTCAAAAACGCGAAAGGTCTAATAAACATAAATTTTTTTATAGTTTCTAGTTTCAGAGAGAACAAATCATATTTCACTGGAAAATTTTACGGCAAAAAGATAGAGATATCGCACTATTTATTCTGTTACCCACTCAAAATATTCCTAACTTTGACTACTTATTCGATCGATACGATAAACTGGGATTATGAAAAGTTGAACAGGGTATTATGTCGGTGGCTTTTAACGCAAATGTCTCTTCATGTTCTCTGACATAATGTGTGCCGATCATATTAAAAGCGACTCCGCCGTGTGCTATTTAAAATTTATAAGAAACAGTTCCACACGATGCATTACCGATTCATCTTGAGTTCGAGTCCCAACGTGTTCGAGATCTAATTGTTCATGATCGCCGATAACGCATCCCTCTTCGCAGCCACCTATGAATATTTTAAGCGGCCATTACGCCGTGGAAATGTTATCGTTAAACCAATGGTAATTCGCGCGTTCACCTGTTAATTCTGCATTGTTCTTTACGTCTCTGCACGTATACGCGATAAAGCGAGAAGTTACGATACCAGACAATGGGACATTAAAACCGACCGTTAGTATAGCCCGTGAAGATGGAGAGGAAAAGACGTTAATTATTTTTAATATTGATACGCTCACGTTGAAAAGAAACTTTCAGAATTATTTCCATAATTCAGTTCAACAACGTGCGCGCGTGCACGGTAGCACATAAGTAATTATTAGAAAGATTAAATTAAGATATAGGTAAATAAGTAAAAATCATCAAACACTCAAATTTCTGAAAAAAGTAAACATTTAAAAAAAAATTCATATAATAAAGTATCAACTTGATGAAATCATGAACAGTTAAATCTCAGTTGAAACACAATAAAATTCTATATTTGAAAAATGAATAAAAACATAGGCGCGAGAGCTTGTCAGGGAATTAATTTGAAAATACTTGACATTAAGTGAAAATTAATTGAATAGAAAAGATTAAAAGACCTCGATCAAAAACAATATCGCGACAAATCCAAATTGCATATTCTATTCTGACTCTAATGAAAATGATAATTTCAAGCTTAACAATTGTAAAGAATGCAAAAATCGCGATACATTCTTCACGTATTTGCTGTTCGCATGAAGGGAAATTTTCCGTGGTGGATAGATAAGGTGTTAGGCCATACTCTTCGCCTGGTATAACTTTTTCGCGTCGGTGCGCTAACAATGCGCACGTGATTCCATCGGGATAACAATACGACCGTGCGCGGCTTCTTCCTGGTCGGCTTACGGGAAATTGTAGATGAGGCACGATTACGTATTCCGATCGTACGCGATATCAGTCCGCCTCGCTTCTCACTCGTGATGGAGTGTTTTCTACCCTCGACCCTTACTCTCTCTCTCTTCCGTTTCTTTCCCGTTTCTATCTACCAAATACTTTACCGAATTCTATCCTGGGCGAGTTCTTTCCTTACCAGAGCTATCTCGATAAATCGTAGTGCCTGCAATGTGGTGCGAAGTTAAAACGCTCGCGGTTTATTTCTGTTGCATGTATAAAATAAATTTTACGTCATAAGATTTAGGCGTTCTAATTAAGTTATATAGTGAGTACCGTATAATTTCGTCGGCTGCAAATCCTCTATTAGAATGCAACGATCATACGAGATCGTTTTTTTAAATTTTATCAAGTAGTTGATATAAATTAAATTAAAATCAAATTAAAACATTTGATAAAAAATGAAGGGAAAATATTGAAAATGATATATATAATCAAGATGAATTGTTGAAATAGCTGTATATTAATTAAAAATTGATGCTTCTAATTAAAAGCTGTAGACAAACTTCCAAAAATCCTAATTACGTCGCCGCCCGTTTCCACCGTCTCTTTCCTCCGCGCCGATCGGAGTCACGATCGCAATGCGCCCCCGCTGAAAACCGCCACGTATGGCACGTGAATCTACTCGGATAACGAATTCCGAAATCGGCAGCCGGCGAAAATTCGGCGGCCTGCGAAATTAACAGCCGCGCCAGGTCACGCCGATAATTGCGGGCTCCGTTTTAACCCGCGGGCCATAATAACCAAACGGAACCCTTTAACAGTTCGCGCACATGTTTCATTCGTTCGTTCGCTCGCAAGGGAAACAACGCACCGGTCCGCGCATGATATTTGTCTTCCGGGGGGAAAAAAATATTCGTAGTTCACCGCGAGTTTCGAGGTAAACCAATCCGCCCGTTCATGTAGTCGCGATTTCGTTCTGATATAGCGATTTATATATACAATCTTCAGCCAGAACGCTTTGTGTGTTTTGTTTTCGCAATAGACCGCCGTGTATTTTATATCGGGCCGTAGCGACGACCTTCATAATTTATTTGCGCTAATCGGCCTAATCGCTTATCTCACTCACGATTATCCTCTAATTATATAATCGTCATCGTCGATAAAATATTAAAAAGATTGAAAGCGAACGATCGACAGCTCCCTCCGTTCTACGCCCCATTTTCGATTTCCCGGTATTCGTCCAGTGTGTTTACTTTACGAATGGGCAGGGCGGCTCCTTCGTGGGTGGAGAAGGTCATGGGGNGGGGGAGGGCTTTGAATTATACCGGGCCGATAGTGACGTCGGCGAAGATAATCACACGCCTCGCAACGGCCAGTTCATCATCGCAGTATCGCGCTCTAAGGGGGGCTCTGATGCATCGTAGAAACCCTCCCCCGCACGAATCCCCGAGAGCCGGACGGAAAACGGAATGTACGAGTCAGGGTGGGAAAAGGAGAAAGCCAAGGAAGGGTGATGAAAGGAAAAAGGGCGACACAAGGAGGTCGACCTTTTCCCAGCCCTACCAAGCTCAACGTCTCCGCAGGACGTGGTAGGAACTCTATTAGCGGTGGAAAAATGAAGTAAAAGACGCGACGAGCGCGGCAGAGAATATAGACGTCCACTCAAACGTGGTTCCGTCGGGCTCGTTACCGCATACCTATATATTACCATACTTTTAAATTTAATTGCATAAAACGAAGATTGCTCGGAACGCAGTATACTAAGAAAAAAAAACATTTTGACATCCATTTTCATATTATTTTTAATAATCTATAATAAATCTACGCTATCGAATAAAAAAAATCTGGTTGCAAGAATATCAGGATTAGTAAAAAAAAATCAATAACGATAATAAGCAATGGTAATTAACGTAATATAGTTATTCAATGTGTAAATAACTATATTAGCATTACGAGGAATACGAGGGATAATTTTTCGCGTACTCCGTGCTTCGTATAAAAGCGCTTTTATAATTATTAGATAATATTAGATGAGAATATGATTTGATAGAATATTCTGCGTTTGCATTTCAGGTGCCTTGCAGATCACCGAATCTGACGTAAGCGATCAAGGAAAATACGAATGCGTTGCTAACAATTCCGTAGGCACAGAGTACTCCAAGTCAACTACGTTATACGTAAAAGGTATGTGATTCAACATGTTTACAAATGCTTGCACGCGAATGTTGTAATGTAAATTAAATTAATTTTCGAGCGTATTTCGTACTTATAATTAATAAATATTAATATAATTTTTCATTGCCTTCGACAAAGAAATCGTTTCTCGCCGGTATTTTATCGCCGGTATTTTATCAGATATAAAAGCAAGAAGAAAAAATATTCTAATGAAAATCAGCGAATTTGAAGCCGCAAAAGGAAGATGTTTTCGTTGACCAAATAACGAACGCCAGCGCGAGCTTGTCGCACAGTCACGCCAATGCCATAAACGTAGACGTTTTCCTGTTTGTAATTAAAATTAATGCAACGCAATTAGAACGTAATTAAACTAAACGGGCGGCACAAAGGGCTCGCGCGACTCACGTAGCGCGTGTTTACGCGCCGAGAGTTTTCCTTCCTTCGCGTTCTCGCCGCGATCTCGAATCCCGATGGTTGCGAGGTTCCCGTTTAATCGTCCCATTTAGCCGCGATTTACAAAATCTGCGCAACGGCGCCTTGCAAAATAATCGTTCGGAGTTTTGTGCTCCGCGAATTTTCATTGGGCACAGTTGATTTGCCATCGTAAAACGTGAGCACGTAATTATTCCCTAATTGGATGCGCCGTTACGGTAGTTGACATTTTGATTTAGTGTCACGCGTAAATAAATAAACAACCTCGTGCGCTCAATCATAATGTAATGTAAGTTACATATTGCGAATCATGCATATAATATAAAGGCGTTATATATTATGTATAAGACCTCTGGCTTTTCGTATCTTTCAGAGGTATATTTATTTTTCCACTCAAAATTTATTCGATAAATATGATTGGCTGATTTTTAATTATAGACGATTAAGAATTTAGAAGAAATTTCATTTTTCATGAATTAAACTTCAACCAGCAAGGTAATGAAATGTTAGCTTTTGTTGTATCTCGCTTTAGCACACTTCTTATGTCTGGGTTTAGAGATTAATTTAAATTTGAAGAGATCGAAAAATTGAAAGAAATTCGACTAATTAAAATTTAGTCGCTGAAAGATAGAGTATCTATTCTGACGAGTGTGCTGTTGCTTCTCAGTACGTCGTGTATCGCCAAGCTTCTCGATTCCTCCACCGACGGTGAGCGAGGTGATGCTGGGCGGATCGCTGAATCTCACCTGCGTCGCCGTGGGTGCGCCCATGCCCTACGTCAAATGGAGAAAGGACCCGGCGACCGATCTGACGCCGGAAGACAACCTGCCGGTTGGCAAAAATGTCCTGATGTTGGTGGACATCAAAGAGTCCGCCAATTACACGTGCACAGCTGCCAGCGATCTCGGTGTAATTGACGCGACCACGATGGTGAAAGTTCAATGTTCGTATCGACTTTTTCGACTTGCAGCCTCTTCTTTAATCTAGACAGCTTCTATAGATCTTTCGTGGATCGCGTTCCTCGGTTCGCTCACGTTATCGCGGATTACGTGATGCGAGCCGATTAATCGCGTTGCATTCATCGGATAACTAATCGATCCGGCAAGTTTAGACCTTGCATTACGATAGCAACAACTGCCGTGAAGCAATTTACCTCCGAGGGCTCGGAGGAGGCTCTTCATAAATATTTTTACTCTCACACATTACACGGCTGATAAATTTAACGTTTGCAAGATTTTTTTTCTTCTAAGCGCTTTGAAATATCGCAATTGATTTTATATTCACTTTGGCTTGAATAAATGATTTCATGCTCTGTGAGAGTTTTTAAAATTGCGACATTTATACATCGAAATAGCGGAGAGGTAAAGCCGTATATAATAATCTCTTTCCCTCCCCCCCGGCTCCGCAGCTCTTCCCGGCCCGCCGGAGAACGTTCAAGTGTCCGACATCACTGCGACGTCGGTGAAGCTGAGTTGGTCCTACAAAGGACCGGATGAGCTGCAGTATTACGTAATTCAGCATAAACCGAAGCACGTGAACCAGGCATTTGCCGAGATATCCGGTATCACGACGATGTACTACCATGTTAGGAGTCTCAGCCCGTATACGGAATACGAGCTCTACGTTATAGCCGTGAACACCATCGGGCGTGGTCCCCCAAGTGCCCCGGTAATAGTCACCACTGGTGAAACAAGTCAGTACCATAGTATTTACTATCGCACTATTCTCTAGTCATTTTTATACCTCTATGTGGCTAGAAACGATTATTTTCCTTTTCGAAGTGTATGGTTCACGCTTCTATAAGCTCATAACCACGGTTGCCATCTTCTAAGGAGTATTGTACCAGACATGTATTAGTGTTCTGCCAGAAGTCATCAATTTTAACCACGCTATTAAAAATTCTTTGCCGAAAAGACGTTCTCTAAAAAAAAAAAGTCATTGAAATTCTGCCGGAGATTTTTTTTCATTGAGCACAAGAAAAATCACTATGCTTTTCCAAATAGAAGGTTGTCAAAATTTAAAGTGCTCGTCCGGAAATTATTTTTGTGTACCGGAGATTCGTCAAATGAGTCGGAGTTTCCGGGCGAAAAAAACGGAGAGGTGGTAACCGTGACCATAACATATATTAGTCGCAAAATGGAAAATTCTAACACAAATTCTCATTGCTTATCAGAATAGAATTGGCAATACTAATATCTCCATGAATGTATCGTTATAACGAGATTGCTTGTATAAAAAGAGCTTATTCTCCTAATTCGTCATTCGCTTTCTAACAAACAAGGAAAAATATCGTTTCTGCAAAATGCATCTTATTTCAGTAAACATTTCTTTCCTCAGTCTCGAACTCATCGTTCGATTAAGCTTAGCAAATAATTGACATCTATTAAATCAATCATCTTTGACGTACACGGAAAACTTTATTGGGCGTCTGTATCACGATCGCTACACGAGACAAAGTAAATCCACTCATGAATCAACTCAAATTTCACTTCTACGCTATACACAACAAACATTACATACGTCCCGAAGTAAAGTTCGCCGGCTAAAACGCGAACGCACTTCGTACCCGCGACATACCCTTTTTTCATCCACGCATCCACATTCGCAAGGATCGGAGAACAATAATGTAAAGGGTGTAGTGAAGGAACGGCACTACTCCGACATGAGCGTGAATTTTTTGCACGTAGATAGAATTTTTGTACACACCATCGAGAAAAAGAGGAGCGAATTTTTACGCACATTTTTTGAGGGAAATTCTGTATTTTTTCCATGCTGTCCGCCGTGGACGCACGATTTGATCCATGTAAGTGACAAGAAAATTTTTTCACCTATCACCAGACCACCCCCTCCCTCCCGCCTCCGACTGCTCTTTGTTGCACCAATGTGTTAGTGTTTTTTGCGGGGGCCGTTCCACAGCGTTTCGTCGCGCTTCGACGACGTCTCGTGTCATTTGTGTATTTTTTACACTATATTCCCCTCCCAGCCCCTATATACCAAGCCCTCACTGTCCCTCTTTCACTCTTCACACTCTTTCTCTCTGTCTCTCTTTCTCTATCTCCTTCTCCGTCTCGGATACGCGCCTCCGTCTCCTTTTTTTCTTTTTTTTGCAAAAGAGGAGAGGGACGCGAGAAACGAGTACGCGGGGGAGACAGCACGCGAAATTGCACCTTTCCCAACAGAATAGTAGCACACTTCTCACCTCGCGTGAAAATACGAAGGAGGCACGTACCCGTCTCTCGCAGTTCGTATTTTCACGTCGCATTTACTACCCATTTATATATATATATATATATACATATATATCGAGAATTGGCAATAATCGTTTGATGTTTTTTTTTCCCCCCTTTGAATAGCGGAATCGACAAATGGAGGTGCCAGTAAGTTATATCATATACTAAGAGTGCCGTAGTGTACATACACACCGATTTCTTTGCTTATTTCTTTGGATAGTTTTCGATCTTGGTTTTCACTCGTTTGGTTACTTCGCGCACACATGACTCTCATTTTCGCTGACACACATACACGACCATACTTTGCCATTTTTAATGGCACGCGTGATACATCGATACATGCACACCTTTGTCTGGGTATCTTTAAGTAGTTAATTGCATACAGTGTGAGGTTTTTGAAACTATACCCATTTATCACCGTAGTGTCGTATAAGTAACACAAAATGAAATTTAATTTCTTTTTCGGTATTTTTACACCGCACCTGCTCTTGGTTCTTGGTACGGTTTTTTTTTTAAGTTCCTTTTTTTTTTGGAGGACTTTTTATCGTGTGATACTACTGACACGTACTTCCGCAGCTTCGTGTGTGATCTTGGCTGCTCTTCGTTTTACGCTAGTAACGCTAAAAACCGACTAATCTCTTTTTTAGAACCCGGTACAGCGCCGCGGAAAGTTCAGGTACGGCCGTTGAGCTCCAGCACGATGGTCATACAGTGGGACGAACCGGAAACCCCGAACGGTCAAGTGACGGTCGGTGTCTTTTCCGAAATTTATCCTCTCACCCGCGGTTATCCCGCGGTTGTTTCCGTTGATCGTTATCGCTAACGAGCGCGCGATATGCCCCTCCGTAGGGATACAAAGTGTACTACACAACGGACTCGAATCAGCCCATGGCATCGTGGCAGTACCAGATGGTGGATAACAGCCAGTTGACAACCATCTCGGAGCTGACGCCGCACACGATCTATACCATAAGAGTCCAGGCGCTCACGAGCGTCGGTCCTGGACCTCTTAGTATGCCGGTGCAAATCAAAACACAGCAAGGGGTACCGAGTCAGCCTGAAATGCTAACGGCGGTCGACATCGGGGAGACCAAAGTAACGCTCCAATGGAGCAAGCCCGCTCATAGCGCTGAGAATATTCTCAGCTATGAGCTGTACTGGAATGACACTTATGCAAAGGTAGATAGTTATGATAGCTATGATACACGGAAAGAACAATTTTGCTGGATTCAGATCTGAAAATAATTTTTGTTCAATAATCAAAATAATTTTGTGCGAAAATCAAAATGATTGCTCGAATATCAAAACGTTTTATAGTAATGCTTATCAGTTCTAATATACCAGCAAATTATTTTGACGATTCAATAAAAAATTATTTTCAGATCTGTATTCAGTTAAATTTTTTGACCTTTTAACAAAATCGTTCTTTCCGTATAATTAGACATTTTTTATGTCAAAATAAATTTCCATTTTTTTTAGCATTTAGCGATAGCGTCGGTTCAACACTATTTTGCGCGCCACACATCATGCATTAGTTCTTAATAATATATTTTTTATCTTCTAATACCGTATTGATTGGACAATGTTATTAAGGAAAATAAGTGAATTTTTTTTAATTCTCGGGAATTTTTAAAACTCGGGAATAGAATGAGCTGAAGTCCGAGGAATAAAAAGATTTTAGAGTAAGAGAGAATGACGTTTTAAAAAGAAAAGAGCGATTTTAAAAGCGGTGATTAATCTACGCGATCTAATGCATCCGACATTTCTGCCCTGAATCAGGAGAAGCATCATCGCAGGATACCCGTCACCGAGAACTACACCCTGACTGGCCTATATCCGAACACCCTGTACTACGTGTGGCTGGCGGCGAGGAGTCAGAGGGGAGAGGGTGCCACGACGATACCGTATCCGGTTCGCACCAAACAGTACGGTAAGCAGAACGCGCACGAATGCATACGAAATCGAATGAGTTCATGCAGCGAGGAGTGCCAGATACGCATTCTGATACGCGATTGTCGCGAGAGGCCGCGAGGCGCGGTCGGCCACTCGATATCCCACACGTGTATCGCGTCGTGGCGATCTCGGATGGGACGCACCTGGGTCCTCGCGCACGATCGCGCATCGCGATGGCACAGCAGGTAGGAGGTGCTGTAGCGCTAGACGCTCCCGCAAGTAGCGTAAGCTATCGACGCACAACACCTTGGAAAGAGCCTTTGAAAGAAAAAGAAAGAAAAAAAGAGAAAGCGAAGACCTTTCGTCTTCGAGAACGCGTTTAATAATGAATAGAAAAAAAAAGGGAAAAGAGAGCGTAAAAAAGAAAGTGAAAGACAGAAAAATAAGAGAGAATAACGTTGAAACAAGTGAAGTGTGGGAGAGTGAGAATGACTGCATGCGTTGCAAATAAGAAAGCCGTTTTTGGATGCCACTTTATATATATATCTATATATATACGTACATATCATACATATAAATTGCACTAAGCACTGCATTGATATATGTGTGCATTTTGGGCACCTCTTTTCATTCTCGATAACATTGATTGATTTATAATCCGTTCTTCAGTTTTTTCGTTGTCTCGTTCCCTTGCAATTATATAAACGTGTAAAACGTCGTTAACTCTGCGGATTTATTACGCCGGAGTTAACACGAGCCGCTCCGGGAGAACTGTCTCTAATCACGTATTTTTTCGACTGTTCAAGGATCGATTCATGACTTTTTTACCTTGAATATTTTTACACCTCTCTGAACCTTGGCCAAACATACCGTTTTGTTGGTATCCCCTCGACAGTCACCGTCGACTGTGCGCTCGTCTCAGCGTTGAGAGCGTCAAATCGAGAAATACGAGAACTCGTCGCTTGGCGCACTAACCGATCCATTATCTGCTTGTACATAAAAATGCCTGATATTACGATTCGCGTTTTGAAACATAAACAATATCTGGAACTTAAGAAATTTTGCAAGGTTCCAGATTACATAATTTACTTTTTATCGATTGACAATTATCCGACGACGAAGTACAGTCGTGCTTTATGATAATAATTTTCAACGCGGCAATTTTTCGTATCCTCGCTTCTGACCTCAAGCCAGGGGCCAGTACGATCGGCCGGTAACTGCCGATTATGAACCCCCGATTTTGTTTTTTTCCCCTCCTACAACTGAGTGTTATACAGTCCCCGGGGCTCCGCCTCGCAATGTAACCGGCAAGGCGATCAGCCCGACTTCCATATTGGTAACGTGGGAACCGCCGGCCGCTGAACGCTCCAACGGGAGGATCGCCTACTACAGGCTGCAAGTCGTCGAGAGCGGTCGCTCCGACTCCGAGGCGAGGAATATCAAACTGAATGACACGCGTTTCGTGTTGGACGAGCTCAAAAAGTGGACCGAATATCGGATCTGGGTATTGGCCGGGACCAGAGTAGGTGACGGGCCCCCGAGTTATCCTATCTCGGTCAGAACTCACGAGGACGGTATGTATCACAGACACTAACTGAACGTCTCTCTGTTTACATCAGGCACGCGAGGAGTAACGTGTAAAATCCGTGGTGACGCACAGCGCGAGAAGATGAATACTATATATGTTCTCCAATAGGTATTGCAGTAATACTAATTAATTTGATTGATATACAGAGAGAAAAAGCGATACGATGTCTACGTTATTGGATAAAAATGTAAATTGCGAAACACAGTCCGACGCCGCGGTCGCTACGAATTTCACACGCTAAGCTTCGCGAGGAAGAAATGTAACTCTATATTGGGATGAAGTAATAACGCGCCTCATCCGAGAGCCAAAAATATAAAAGCCCGCCAAAAGTCAGTCCGGTTATACTCTCGCGCGGTTCCAGTGCGGGTTGCGACGACACGCCGCGTTTGTTATTCTTGATCTGGTGAATGCATCACGTATAATATACATTACTTTGTATACTTTCGATTTCAGATTACGCTAACGTCACTTCGTCAACCTTGTCTCTCTCTTCCCGAACTCTCAAACAACCAGAATACACTCTCTCTCTCTCTCTCTCTCTCTCTCTCTCCCTTATCACGATTTTCTGTTCTGTGTCCTCACTGTCGTATATCTTTTCTCTCCAATGATCTCTACACTCACGTTATATTTACATTGTATTTACGTTTGTTACATTTTCTATTAAATTACATTATACAATACTTATTATACTCTGTATTATATTATATATATATGAGCTTTCCTCTTCTCTCACGCCGTTCTTGTGTTACAGTTATAGTTTCGAGAAACGAACTATCGAAATCGCCCATCGTGACGAGAGAGGAAAAGAGGACAGACACGGCCCTTTTTTCCGGTCGGATTACCTTTTTTTTTGCGCGAACAAAAGTTTTGAGCGCGCACGACTTTTTGTATTTTTCGTGCCTCTCCGATCACGCTACTCCGATCGCTTTCCTATCGTACTTTTCGTAACCTCCTTCACTCTTCCGATTTTTATAAAAACGGCATTCAACGCGAAACACGAAACGATGATGGCCCTACTTTTTTGGCTGGCGAGATTTTATATTTTTGGATTTTTTGCGACAATAAAATCTCCAACGATCTTTATTCTAGCTTTCCCGAAAATCTCTCCCGAAAAATTCCCCCCAAAATCGCCCTATCTCCCAATCACCCTCTTTTAGTGTGCCCACAATAATTTTTTCCAGGTGCACGCAGCCACGGATTTTTCAGAAGCTGATAACCAATTTTTGAGCTCAGCTATTAAAAAAAAAGATGAAAGAAAAAGAAAAGAATTTTCTTACCGTTTTTTACAGGGCCTAATCGCAACTCTCTCTTTGTTCGTTGCCGTTGGTTTTTTTCACCCCTCCCCCTTCAGCCCCAATTTTAAAACTTGGATATCTATTTTGACACGCTAATTAATATCTAATTATACTCACTCAAGTGTTTTTGTCTTTCCTTAAAGCATTTGCAGGAGGATGATCCAGGTTTTGAACAGCTAGTTTTTAAGATCTATTCACATTATCGTAATATTATCAATATTACCTAATAATATGTACTCATTACACTCAGTGTTCTTTCTGGTGGTTACCGTGGTTACGTCAGTAAAGATGTTTCGTTTCTCTCCTTTAGTTTATTAATTCAATCTTGCCACGTGTTATGAAGATAGAAGTCAGGCTGGCTGCCCCGCGTGCCATTATTTCCGACATTTTTTTTTCTTTTTTTTTTACACCGCCACTAGCGGTGCATAAGCCACATGAAACATGTAAATAACACTAACGAACGAAATTAAATAACAACTTGTTACACGTGCAACAATCGGACGAAAGTAATGGCAACGCGAGGGACAGCTTGCGAGTGAAGCGCTTACGTATATATATATAAAAACTCTAGCGAATGTTATCTCACACACAAGAATATATATATATGAGACGCACTTTTTCACTATATATATATATATATTACACATATATATATTTCTATATCTCTGATATATAAGGCTCTTCTGTCTTTAGTTGAGATTTAGTTCTACCTATCGTTTGCACATGTTTAGAGCATGCCTTCGTTTGTTTAAAGATTCCTTAATTTCCCCACGATCCCAGAAACGCAACCCCCTCGAACTCTCGTCCCGCCTAAGGAAAAGGAAAGAAACACCCGAACCGAATCCCTACACCTCTCCGTCTCCAAAATCCACCAAGAATCCGCCGAACTGTGTCGAGTCTGCGACGTCATTTCCCGACGCAAATACGTTCATATTATTACCATCTATATCCTATGAATGGCATGCCGATGCATGAGACAGTTTTGCTTTCTGTTACTTCCCGTCCCCGTCCCGGCCGAGCGGCGTCCCCAAAGGAGCCGATCGATCCCCGCATGTCGAACGTTTTTCGTCCCCCTGTTGCCGAATAAACTGTCCAACCCTCTCTCCCATAACAAACGAATTCGGCACCGAGGGAAAAAAAAAAATTGTTTGCACGATATTTATATAGTAGTCGTTGAAAAAATAAATCTCCACGCGGTCGTTAGCCACGATATTTCCACGGGAAATCATTTAATCGTAACGATAACTTCTCTCGGTGCGCGCAGGAGGGGGCGGCGCGGTACGACCGCGATCGTTAAAAGTTTTACAGCGCGAGTAAGTAGAAACAGCGAATCGCGAGATTGAAAAAAAATAATCGAACGCTGGGAGCGCTGGGGTTGCAAACAAAAAATTGTCCGGTAGATTCGAAAGCGAGGGAGGGAGGTAAGGCGCGAGAGAAAGAGGGTGGGTGGTGTACATACAACGCCACTCTACTTATCTCTAACGGGCGCTATGAAGACATTCGCGTCGGACACGTGGAGAGCATCATTTGTCGCGTGGAGGTATTATGCCGCCATGATTGTTGAACGAAAAGTCGTACCGACGCATCCGTAACGATCTTCTCCTATGCCTTTCACCACCATGGAACGCTCTCACCCCCCCCCCTCCCCCTCGGATCCTCTTTCGTTTCTCTACTCTCCTGCCTGCGCCCCCGGCTCCTACGAGCCCCCATTCCCGGCATTATCCCGTTCACGGAGCAACTGATCCGGTGCCCGTTTACCCTCCCCAAGCAGACTCGGCAGAGCGAAGCGAAACGATAAAAAGCACTGCTGAAAGCACCCTGCCGTGTAAGCTCGCACATTGTTAAGCACCAAAGATTCACCGTTCACGTGTATAGCATACATATATATATATATAAGTATCTTCTATACGCATACGTTTACTACTATTACTGACTGTCATCGTTCACTATTTACCGAGAGTTTATCACGTTGCTACTATATATCGTATTTTTATATATATACTGTCTCACCGTATATATGTGCACGGGCACCTTGCAAAAATCACGTAAAAATCGCGCACCGGCACCGTGTGTTTCACTTTTTTTTTTTTAACCACTTCTCGCACCCACCACGCACGCATACACGCACCCCCGCGGAGTCTCTCACGGTGCCACGCACGCCACGAACGTACACGCACGTGCGGTGCGTCGCGTGGTGCTGGCCCCGCCGTCGTAGCCTCTTCTGTCCTCCTCTTTGTCCCCCCCCCCTCTCTTTTTGTGCACCGATTCTCAAGAGCACAAGCACCTCGCTTTTACGAAATAATTCGGCTGCGAGATAGCACGTAGCATTCACGTAGGACACGTGTCGCGGGCGTGTGCGACTTGGATATGCGTATACGTAGAGGCGTTAACGCTCACATGTTGCGTGAGAGAGCACCGTGCACAGCAGCGGCTATACACGTCCGAATAAATATTGTTATAGACGATGCAATATCGTGCCGCCGAGCACCAGCACTGAAAGCACCCTCGAAAAGCACCCCCACTGTCGACTGTCGTGCAACCTGAAGCTCCTTCCTGAGGCGATCTCGAAATGGCGCTCCCTGCAAAAGCCATAATAATAAACCGAAACGGTAACGACGGATGGATTGTTATTGCGAGCGAGCAACGTTGTTCGTTTCGCCGCGAGTAAAGCGCGATCTAATAATATTCCGTGAAATTACGTTACCGTATCAGTTGTTAATCTGTGAGTACTTACGGAAAATCAGTCAAGAAAACAGATGATCCGCATAAGTTGATTGTATTAAAAATTATTCGGAAAGAAACGATCTGTTTATGCGGATGATGTTTTTTTTTACCGAAAATTTACTTTTCCGTAAGCATAAAGAATTTTATAACTGATGCCACGTATAATGTCACAAGAAAGACTACAATCGGTGATTGGTTCGCGATACTTTTTTTTTTTTTCGAGACCGCGACAGGAAGGTGCGCGCGTGAATGCGTGAGTGATTGTGTAAAAGGATACCGGATGGAAGAAGGACGACACGCGTAAGAAAGCATACGCGAAAAGTAACGAAAAAAAAAAAAATCAGGGAAGTGATCAGTCACAAAGGAAAACGGTATACAATAAAAATCAAATCGAGAGAATCCGCGCGATATTTTCTCTGCGCCCAAACGTCTCCGACGAAAGAAGAGAGTCGGATGTAATCGAGAAAGAGAAAAAAAGAAACGTTCGCGAGGCGTTTTCTTGGAAACATTTGAATACCAATATTCATCAGACGATATTTCTGATTATATTCTCACTTATATGCTCCATCAGTCACAATTTTCGTGAATTCGACAACAAGTAAATCGTTTCCCACGCGTCGACTTCGCCTCCGCCGGAAACGATCGGATGACCTTTGACATCCGCATCAGCGGGAGAGAACATCCTCTTTCTTTTTTTTTAAAGTAGCATGCACAAGAAATGGAAATGCGAAACGCACGTTCCAAAGCGAACAACTCCCAACTTCCGCTCGTACGTAAAGTATCCGGCGCGGATGAAGTACGCTTTGTTATAAAAAAAAAAGAAGAAAAAGTTACCGTATTAGACCAAAGCTGCGCTGACCGCAAGGACGAAAACGGGAAATCTGATCATACCTAGACTGCGAGCATCAGGTCCCATTAATTTTCATACGTAATCACTCGACGGTTGTTTTTTTTTATATTTACGTACATCTTCGCTCTCTGCATGCGAGACTCTGATCCGTTTCTGTGTCTCTGTAAGTGAAACATAGTACTCTATATTATTCAGATGATATACTTCGATATGTACGAAATACTGTTTTAAATGCCATATATAGCATCTCTTTTTCCACATACATATTCTACTTTTTATCTCGAGAAACACGCACACGTTTTTTTTTTTTTACATGGGTATATCTAGAGAAGGTACATTAATTACATGGTATATGTAAATGTGATTTATTTTCCTCTCTCTTTATATCTCTGGAACTTCTAATTCAGCGGTTGAAGCAACGTTCCTTTCGTAGGCGTAATGTTTTTTAAAGTCTTAAGAGCTTCGGCTGCCCGTTTGATTGTTCCTGATTGTTTCCTCCAATATTTCTTTACTTGACACGTAAAAACTATATTCACTGTTTATGTCCCAATAAAACGCATGATTTATGACAGTTCGTTTCCTTTAGCTCGACCCAGCTAGTTCCGCCAATTTGAATTAGACATTTTAGATGTCATCGACAGTTTCGACCACACTCGATCATCGACAGGTACGCGCGGGCGTACGATTCGTTAATCAAATAAACGGGCTACCTCTACACCACCGCGTCTCGGCAACGGCTGTCGAAACGTATTTACGCGCGCGTTTTACGTGGAATTTTGTGATTTTTGCGTGGATGAATGCGCGGGTGGATGTTGACATTGAGAGAAAGAGCGAGAAGGGAGGAAAAGGGGAGGAAAAAAAGAGAGAAGGGTGGGAGGGAAGGGAGACAAATAGCGGGGTACTTTTTTATGGTATCCCAAAACGGGGAGAGTGTGGTCTCCATTAGTCTGTCTCTCTCTCTCTCTCTCTCCCTGCCCTTCCTCTCTATTTCTTTCCCTCGGTTTCCTCTCTCGCTCTCTCTTTTTCTCTAATTTACCCTGCCTCCCCTTTGCTGAAACGACAAAAGTTTTTGATCGAGCTGCTGTTTTTTGCGGGTGACTTTTTGGAGTTGCAAAAAAAAAAGAGAAGAAAAAAGAAGGTAAAACAATTTTTCCTCAGAAGACACTCCACCCCACCGACATGTATCCCTCGATCTTGTATCGTGAATTTTTTGACTACACATACGTAAAAATAATCACGAGAGTAATCGCGAGTTTTTCTCACGACTTGCCCACTTTCTATAGTATCTACCGTAGTAACAACCGACGAAACCTTTTCTCTCGTTTGATACATCCTAGAAACCGTCCACCTTATTCTTTCTTATGGTTTCTCCTACCTATATAGCTTTCTTTTCGTAGGCATTTTATCATAGGTCTTCCCTTTGATGTCTCGTGTCGGGGCAGGAAGAGAATGGGGAAAGATTTCCGGGATTTCGACGCTTTAACCGTAAGATTATTGTCACCCGGCACGGTTTCTCGGGATAAATTTCAAGAAACGTGAGATATTTGGCCCTCGTGTCCCGGCCCCGACACGAGGCAGGTGAACACATTGAGCCTTTAGTTATTTCATATTTGGAGTAGTGATTGCGCATGCCAAAGAAAAAAAAAAGATATTCTCACGTCTCCCGCCTCTCTGCGACCAACTGCAACCGAGGGCCAAGCGATCATTCATATATTTTTTTTTTTGGTCTATGTAACGATCGATTGGAATCATGAATCTTGTTGCCACCGACATTCGTTAGCAGTTGCGAAATAAGCGGTGTGTGATTGTCGATCGAGCGCATGAGGCCGGAGCGAAAGGACCGAATCGAGCGAATGCGAAACGCGTGCCTGCCTCGAGAAGAGAAGGATAACGAGATCTCTGTCTATATATATTTTTTTTGTCGTAAAATCGAGAATATAGCTATTATTATATAGAGAGAGGGCCAATTTTGATGATAATCAGTAGTGTGCTACTCATTGATATGCCTTAAAGATTAATTAAATTACATTGTAATTCTACTCAATGTACGTGCGAAGTTGACACGAATTTTTACGAGTTTTTTTTCCCACTTTTTTGGCGACTTTTGGGGCGCAGCTGAAAAAAGTGAGTATCCCTTAGCTCGTCTCGAGTTGTGCCATGACATTTTTCTATACCGTCTATTTTTTTTTTGTTTCACTTTTCCTTTTTGTCACCGTCTCGTTTTTTGCATATGTACACTCTCATTTTGTTGTCTGTCGAGAGAGCTCAATTCTCGAAGTGTCGTCCTACAATTATTTTGTCTTATTTTATTTTTGCTGCAGCCAGTGAATATACTATAATGTAATCTTAAGGAAAACATATATTTTATTACATACATTATAACGCTGCGACTGCGCGCGCTCGCCACCCTTGTTTTTTGCGCTACATAGCGAAGTTGTAAGTGTTGATCTTGATCTTACTTGACTGTGTATACATGCGAGAGCTAGAAGCAGAGCGAGCACGCGATCCACCAATCGCTTCTCATCAAATTCGCGCTACGACGATTCAGTTTTCTGCGTCGGAATTTTTCTGTATGTACTTTCGTTGCGGCGTAAGTTTCGTTTTTTGCGAATTTTCCCTCCGTAGAGCTGCTGTTACTGTTATATATTATATATCTATATAATATCTATATAATCGTGCGGAAGTAGGTAGTATTAGGCAGTACTGGATTTTTTTGTTTTGTTTCATCTGGACTTTTATTTCTCTCACCACGTTTTACGTTTTCCCATTTCTCTCTCACAAACGCGCCAATTTAGCAGTTTAGCGAAATACGACAAATACTGGACCGTCCATGAGACAAACAATCGAATTATCTCGCGGAATCGCCGAAACGTCGCGAGACGTTAGAAGTCGCGGGGGCTTTTAAACGCGAACGCTGCCGCAATCGCGACTTTCTGCAACTTCCAGCAGTCGCGTGCAGTATAGTCGTGGTTGTAAATAAACGTTGTAAATAGGCAGCGTGTGTATATTTACCGCCACTACCTCGCATTTGTTCCGAGGAGAGCAAGATCCCGCGACTCTCTGTCGTCATCGCCGGTCGGTCGGTCGTCGTCGTCGCCGACGACGACGACGTCGTTGCAACAACTTTTCGTCCCTCGGCGAGCGTACTCGTTGCCCTCGCTACCCCCTCCGCGGAAACTCGCGTGCAACTAACTATCTACTTGGTCTCTCAAGTCATGGACTCTCCAATATTACCGCTATGTTATCGCGTCCAACGTTACCGCGTACTTTACCGTATGACGTGTCTACGCGCGCTTGTATATGCAAAGTCGAACCGAATGCGCGCGGGCTAAAGAAAAAAAAAAAAGAACTTGAAAAAAAAAGAACGAAAGAAAGAGAGAAAAAAAAAGCATTATTGGTATTCAAATGGAGGATTGTAATCGTAATCAGGGGCGTAGAGCATGGGGTACAACGTGCCTCGTAATATTGTTTGTACGTCGTTTTGTCCGTGTGTGATTGGCGGCATGTAATTACCTCTTCTGTTTTTCTTCGTCTTCTTGTTCTTTTCTTCTTACCGTTCTCTCCTTTTTGTTCGCGACCTTATTTTACTTATGATTTCTCTCTCTCTCTCTTTCTGCAACCGCTGCAATCGCTGGTACTTTCGTTTCCTCTTTTTCAATTGTATCTCACTGCTCGTTCTCGCTGTCATCTACTTTTTTTCCCCCCCTCCCGTTTACAGCAACGAAATGGACGACGGATGGACAGTCGCGAAATGTAGAGGAAATGTTTTTTCGCATTGTATAAAGACCGATTCTACTTCTCGCTTTTCTTCCCTTGAATACGTTTTTATCGCGCGACAAAAGGTACCTTTTGCCGCTACCGACGTATTACGCTTATCGCTTCCTCACGTTCTTCTTTCGCTTGTGGAATGTAAATAATGACGTAATGATCTTCCGGCAGACAGGACAGACTGTGAATGACTTACGTACACCCCTTTTCATTTCATTTCTTTTTTATCTTCTTCCGATCGTGATTTCGATTCTCTTTAATTTTACATAAAAGATATTTTATTTTATTATTTCAGGTTTTAGTAAAATCCGTTATTTATTATCTCCCGTCCCCGCGTACGTCTGTGGGTGTACATGGGCGTGTGTCTGTGTGTGTGACGTCGGACGAGCGTAAAGTGCGCGAATTAATTATGGATTGCGTTACAGTGCCGGGGGATCCTCAGGACGTCAAAGTCACGCCGATCAACTCGACGGCGATACACGTCGAGTGGAAGCCGCCGAAAGCGAAAGATCAGAACGGCGTCATACGGGGATATCACATACACGTGCAAGAAGTGAGGGAGGAGGTCAGTTTGCGGCTGCTGCACGATCAATAGCGTAGCGTTACAAGTTTCGGGCTCTTACGCGAAACTTGCTGATAAAACCCTTTATCTTCGCTATCGTCTCTCTATTCACGTGTAATATCGTCGCGAGTTCTTTTATCCGTTGGTCCTTGTTTAAGTATTAATAGGACGTACGTCTTAAGTAACACAGATACTAGATTTTTAAAGTGAATATACGAAATATTTCGTATATTCACTTTAAATTTCGTAGCAGAAAAACTTGGCCGATTTATTGGGAAAAATATCGTAAACATCGTTCCTATTCAAGTAGTCTCATAAATGTTAAAATATAAATTCCAATTTTATTTATTTCCTGCTTTACACAAAATGGAAGATCGGTCACGCACCTTAACAAATCTTGTCTAAGTACTTTTAAAATAAAATATCGGATATGCTTGATGTAATAATCAAATTAGTATTTGGGAAAAGTAAATTAGTAGTATCACGAGTAATTGCGAGACTATTAATTGCGCATCTGTTAACGATATCCTTCTTGAATAAAACTTAAATAGAAGCAAAGTAAAAAAACTTTGAAAGGCAAGTATCTACAGATAGATGAGGGAAAGGGCTCGCAATACAAGTTGTGATGGTTTCTCAGGGAAAGGATCTACTGAACGAACCGATACGTCGAGACGTGCACGAGGACGGCGTGCTAGAAGTGAACATCACCGGGCTGCAACCGGACACAAGATACTCGGTGCAGGTGGCGGCGTTGACGAGAAAAGGGGACGGGGACCGTTCGGTACCGATACACGTTAGGACTCCGGGCGGTGTACCGAACAGACCGCAGGTCAACGTAAAGTAAGAATCGTCTATCTATTTGAAACGATAATCGTACTTTCATAAACGACTTGAATCGAGTTTTCTATATATACGTTATTTCCACGTTATTATCAGAGTCCTGAGCAGAAGCCCCGATGTCTTGGAGCTCGAATGGGGTCAGCCTACTCAAACCTACGGTAGCTTGCAGGGATACCGTATTCGATACGGTATAAAGAATCAAACGCTTAAGGAGGAATTTATCGATGGCACGCGTCAGCATACGTACAAAATCACGGATCTTGGTGAGAAAAATTAACATGTACCATCGTTAATATCTTATGCCATATAAAAATAATATGATATTCTCGCATTAAATGTTCTTCAAGATACACGATATATATATATATTTTTTTTTTCTCATTTTTTGTACGCTTAACAGGATATTATACTTATTACGATAATTATCATAATCATAATCGCTCTATCTGAATTCTTTTTAAATTATTAAATTATTTATTTATTGTTTAATTAAATTATTTAATGTAACCGTTTTTCATTTAATGAGTTATTTGTTTAAATAAAAAATCTCTAGATGAACAAGGCGTTGATTACGAGTTCAGAGTCGCGGGCAAAAATGACATCGGCTTCGGTCAAGAGACCGTGCGGTACTGGTTCAGTCCGGAAGGCGAGCCAACCGGGCCACCGACAAATCTGTCGTACTTCTTTCAAACTCCCGACACTGTGTGCGTGACCTGGGACAAACCGCTTCGGCAGCACAGAAACGGCCAGATAATCGGATACGACGTGCAGTTTAACAAGAAGAACGATCACTCCACCACTATAGATAGGAACACGACCAACACGAGAGCGGTATTCACCAACTTGGAGGAGAACACTGAATACGTCTTTCATGTGCGAGCGCACACGTTGCAGGGTAGCGGTCCGTACTCCGAGAAAATCACGATAATGACGGAAAAGGACATCGGCCGGGCGCCGATGTCCGTAAGAGCCGTGGCCACGTCGGACTCCAGCGTGGAGGTATGGTGGGATCCGGTGCCCAACAGAGGGAAGATCCTCGGTTACCAGATTTTCTACACGACGACCGCCGTGGAGGATCTCGACGAGTGGAAGAAGAAGACCGTCGGTCTGACGGAATCGGCGGATCTCATCAATCTGGAGAAGTACACGCAGTACGCTATAACAGTAGCGGCGCGCTACAAGAGCGGTCTCGGAAGGCTCAGCGAGAAGGTCACGGTGAAGGTGAAGCCGGAGGACGTGCCGTTGAATCTGAGAGCGCCGGACTCGTCGACGCATACGATGTTCCTTTCCTGGACCCCGCCCATAAGACTGATCCCGTACAAGTACAAAGTTTCATTCGACGCTGTTAAAGAGTTCGTGGATTCCCAAGGTATAACGCAGACGCAACAAGTGCCCCGCAAGGAGATTCTATTGGATCCCACATCCACAAGTACAATGATAAACGAGCTGCAACCGTTTACGACTTATAACGTCAACGTGAGCGTTGTACCGCGCGATACCAATCAGTACAAACCGCCGGCGAAGATCACCGTCACCACGCAGATGGCTGCGCCCAAGCCGATGGTGAAGCCGGACTTCTACGGCGTGGTTAACGGCGAGGAGATTCAAGTTATTCTGCCGCAAGCTTCCGAGGAGTACGGCCCAATCTCGCACTACTACCTCATCGTCGTGCCCGAGGACAAGAGCACGGCCGACAGGCAGCCGGATGAGCTGACGGAGGATATAATCAGCGGGAAAGGTGCCAAGCAGGAAAGAGAAAACGCGCCCTATATCGCAGCTAAGTTCCCACACAGAGACATTCCGTATACGTTCCACTTGGGCAGCGGGGACATCTACGAGGGATTCGAGAACCGGAAGCTCGCCAAAAATAAGCGATACAGGATATTCGTACGGGCTGTAGTCGACACTCCTCGAAAGGTAAGATACAAAAAGTGATTCAAGTGACGACTCTTATATAAAATGACTCGTGAAAAAGTCAGTGATGAAAAAAATTTTCTTTTCAGCATTTGTACACGTCGTCGCCGTTTTCCGAATATTTGTCTCTGGACATGAGGGAAGTACCTCCCGGCGAGCCACCACGTCGGCCGAATCCCAACACGCCCCCGGAAGGAAATCCGGAAGTTTCCGTAAAAACTAGCGGTCAGGAACCAGGGATGGTATGGGTGGTCGGTCCTATAATCGCGGCACTGATGGTCAGCGTTTGCCTTGTGCTCTTATTCGTCATTAAAAAGTGAGTTGCATTTCTTGGTAAAAGATAAAAATTCAAGTTTACAGATGAATTGAGCGCACGTCAAGTTTGTTTCTTAATCATTTCAGACGAAGACAACCGTGTAAAGCGCCGGATCAAGCGGCCGTTACACGGCCACTCATGGCAGCAGACATAAGCTCCAATCACGCGCCGTCGGACCCGGTGGAGATGCGGCGACTAAATTTCCAAACCCCTGGCATGATCTCACACCCGCCGATTCCTATTAGCGAACTAGGCAATCACATTGAACGCCTGAAAGCGAATGACAATCTGAAGTTCAGTCAAGAATACGAGTCGATAGAGCCCGGCCAACAATTCACGTGGGACCATTCCAATATGGAAGTCAACGCGTCGAAGAATCGTTACGCCAATGTAATCGCGTACGATCACTCGCGAGTTATCCTTCAGACAGTTGACGGCATGCCGGGCTCCGATTACATCAACGCCAATTACTGCGACGGTTACAGAAAGCAGAACGCGTACGTGGCTACCCAAGGGCCGTTGCAGGAGACGTTCGGCGACTTCTGGCGCATGTGCTGGGAGCTACGTACCAGCACGATCGTGATGATGACGAAGTTGGAGGAGAGAACGAGGATAAAGTGCGATCAGTACTGGCCTACCAGAGGATCCGAGACTTACGGACAGATGACCGTGACCATCAGCGACGTACAAGAGTTGGCGACCTACTGTATCCGCACGTTCCAGGTTTGCCGAGCGGGCTATTCCGAGCGGCGGGAGATCAAGCAGCTGCAATTCACAGCCTGGCCCGATCACGGCGTACCGGAACACCCCGCACCGTTCTTGCAGTTCTTGCGCAGAGTCAGATCCCTCAACGTGCCCGACAGTGGACCATTGGTGGTGCACTGTAGCGCGGGCGTGGGAAGAACCGGTTGCTTCATCGTGATAGACTCGATGCTGGAAAGGATCAAACACGAGAAGATGATCGACATTTACGGCCACGTTACGTGTCTACGCGCTCAGAGGAATTACATGGTGCAAACGGAGGATCAGTACATCTTCATTCACGACGCCCTGCTGGAGGCGGTGATTTGCGGCAATACGGAAGTACCGGCCAGAAATCTGCATTCTCACATTCAGAAGCTCATGCAACCGGAGATCGACAATATAACCGGCATGGAATTGGAGTTCAAGAAGCTTTCCAACATCAAGGCCGACTCGACCAGATTTATATCCGCGAATCTGCCGTGTAACAAACACAAAAACCGACTGGTCCACATTCTGCCTTACGAGTGCACCAGAGTATGCCTACAGCCGCAGCGTAATATCGAGGGATCTGATTACATAAACGCGAGCCTGATCGACGGATATCGCTACCGGGGTGCCTACATAGCCACGCAAGGCCCTCTGTGCGACACCACTGACGACTTCTGGCGTATGCTTTGGGAGCACAATTCCACGATCGTCGTTATGCTGACGAAACTGAAAGAGATGGGCAGAGAGAAATGCCATCAGTACTGGCCGTCCGATCGATCTATTCGCTACCAATGCTTCGTCGTGGATCCGATCGCGGAGTACAATATGCCGCAGTACATTTTGCGGGAGTTCAAGGTGACGGACGCGCGCGACGGGGCCAGTCGCACGGTCAGGCAGTTCCAGTTCATCGACTGGCCGGAACAGGGTGTGCCGAAATCCGGCGACGGTTTCATCGACTTTATTGGACAGGTTCACAAAACGAAGGAGCAATTCGGCCAGGACGGACCGATCACCGTGCACTGCAGCGCCGGCGTGGGAAGGACAGGGGTCTTCATAACACTTAGCATCGTATTGGAGCGAATGCAGTACGAGGGTGTGGTCGACATATTCCAGACTGTGAGAATATTGCGCACGCAACGTCCAGCTATGGTTCAAACCGAGGTTCGTAAACTCTAATTTAAATTCTTCGGCAAAGTACAATATATTCACGTGCATGTAATCGTGATATTTTCTTTTTCATTTGCGATTCATTTTCTTGTCACAGGATCAATATCAGTTCTGCTATCGAGCCAGTTTGGAATATTTAGGATCCTTCGATCATTACGCCAACTGACAAGCCGACACTCGCGAGCAGAGGGATCTGTCGAGGGACAAGCGAGACCGGCAACGGGGCGAGAGAGATATCGAGAGAGCAAAAGTACGACGTGTCTAGTACAATAAAGTCGTATGACATACTCGTACCTTCCAAGGACAAATACAGTAGTAATGTCGATTACTAGTGTCGTGGGCAGTTAATATAGAGATAAAATGTTTAGTCAATGGTGTTGCAGTAAATGCAAATATGCCGGAAATTTTCACTTCTGACATATACAGCAAACGCTCGAAATCGTGCTGGGAAGCATTCGGTTTTAGGCTAATCTCTTTTTAGAAACTAGATTTGAAAGTTCCCTCGCCGTGACGCGAGTCAAAACTGCCGTTTTAGAAATACGTACAATACACGTGGTTGCACGGGCGATCGTGTCGTACGGTGTCACGTAGATACGTTCTTTCTTTTTTTTTTAAACACGAACGAAAAGAAGCGAACTTCTTAATTTCAAGGTGTTCTACCGCGACGAGGAATCAATCAGCCAAGTACGACGATGTAATCAAAATTACGAACCGTCATCGCGTAGAATTGTATTCGCGAATTAGTGAATTGGAACATATCCCACTGTCAAGTCGATTCATTCGCAAAAGCATTTTTTAAGGGTCTAGATAAATCTAATTTTAAGATAGACTGAAGATATATTACGACCATATCTCTCCCACTCGAAACATAGTGCATCTTCTGTGCATAGTATCTCTTACAAACTGAGACAATGAAGATCAAAACCTTTCCTATTTATTGAGGCTAAGTGTGCTTCCTTCAATAGCGAATTACATTAGGGGAACGAAATGGTCTCGATGTCGACATTCATGTTTGTGAGAGAAACAGGGTATCGGAATGCACGATCAATTGCAATGTGTGAAACGCACATCGTGAAAACGTGAGAACCTACCATTCACCGTACGTGGCGTATTCCACGAGTACTTACTAATGTAGAAAGAAAAATGGAATCGAGGAAAAAAAAAGAATCGAGTCAAGTAACTTTCTTTAGCCGTTACAAAATAAAGAAAGAGAGAGATGAAAATTTCCGCTCACAAGAAACAAAAAAAAATTGCCATACTGCCAAATTGACAATTATTAATGCTGTACTCACTATGAACAGTAGGGATCTTCTCATTATAATAATGTTAGATAGATTGTAAGAAATTGTTTTAAGGATAGATTAAGTGACGCCATTAGGGAAATGAGGATGAAAGAAGGACCCGAGTGAAAGAAGGATGAAAGGAAACGGTGCCTATTCAATGAAAGGTGTGCAAGTGAATTTGCGCACATTTCTATAAAAGAAGGAAAAAAAACTAATTTAAATAGAAGCACTGTATGTTGAATTCGTGTACTGTTCTCCCGAGCCCTCGATACCGTTATATGTACAAAGTTCCAACGTAGCTTCTACCTCGAATATTCCTAATTGCCTTTCAAATATATTGAAATAGATGGCCATATAAATTCAGTTGTCTTTGCATCGATTCATTGTTTTTCGGCTTACGAGTACCTTATATCAAAATCAAATTTACGCTGAGTATTCATATTACACATTAAATCATCGATATTTATAATATAAATATCGTTTCTTTTTCAAATGCCAGATCAATGCCAAGAACGCACAATGAAGAACATCGCTACACGATATATTTGTTACGGTGAAAATAAATCCGGCAAGTCTGTAAAATCTACGATAATTCTATAGAATCACTGGTTATGTATTGGCAAAATTAATAATATAATTGCATTTCCCTAAAATCAGTGATATGATCAAAATAAACGCATTAACCGCTTTGATTTTATTACCAATAAACATATTTAATTGGTACATTCGTCAACGTGACCAGTGATTTTACTGAATCATATATGATTTTATAAAGATGCCAATTAATCACTTTTACCGTGACATCCATTTTGTATAGTAATAACGACTTCGGATACATGTATTGCAATTTAAAGTTGCAAGCTCTCCAGTTTACGAGGACAATAATTGTGCGCTCGATTATACCTTCTTCGAAATCTTATATGATATACTGTTCGGTATAGCAAATGTCTTGTAGTTGACATTTTAGAAAATACCATTTAAAAAAAAAGTATACATGTACAATATAACGCGGACGTGAGTCATTTAAATAAAGTAATTTATCGATCATAAATCTTCTCTAGTTTTTGGCATTCTTTTGGCTGCAACGATTCTACTGTGAAATACTTCTGATATGTTGAAACTACACGAATTAATGCCACACGAAAATGCAATTCCACGATTTTATACGATTTTGCTCGATACTCCCTAACTTTACCGTTAGTTATTATGGTTCGAGGGTTAGGAACTGTGACTAAATGTACATAAATGCACCGTCTGTCATTAGCAACATTATATAAATATATACATATTATATATAAAAAATGATAAGTAATATATATATATACATAGATATATATATATATATATATCATAAGAGATACGAGTGTGCATAAAGACATGAAGATGTTTAAGAAGATATGGGTATTTTCCAAACTAACGTGTTAAGTTTTAACAGAAAAAAAAAAGTGTAATCTACTCAGTACGTTGTATCCACCTGTAATATTTAATTCTCTCAATATCTTTTATTTACCATTTTACACTTTTTTAAATATACTTTTTTTACGTGGTTTTTTAAATTATATTTATCGCGTTGTTTTAACGAATGTACTTCTAATATAACGGCAACGAGCAGAGTGTTCCTTTAATATGGATTGGATTTTGAAAAAAATTACTTATTAGTTTATGTTTTTTTTTTCTTTTGTTAACAAACTGAGGGCCATCTCATACAGCATTTAATATGATGTATTCTTTTGTGCTTGAAAAAGTACTTACTATTTTATTAATATTTATTTTATTAATATTGAAATGTATGTAATATTATATAAGTCATTACATCAAATTTTCACTGCCTGTTAAACCATTTACAACTATGGCATTTTTCATAATTTATAGTGTAATGTTAATAATTATAGTATACTACTCGTAATAATAATATAATAATGATAACGCTAGTTATAAAAATAATTCTACGATTTGCCTTATGTCTCAAAGTTCATTACATAACAGTAACACTTTAAATGGAACATTAATGACACATTTTAAGTTATCACGTTAAGTGTTTTTACAATGGCATCAGATCATTTATTACGACTTAATAATATTTGGCCTTCAGAATGTAACTATAAGTAGCTATTTATTTTAACGTGCAGCATTTTATTTTAAAGGAAATGTATATTTATACAATATTTTTTATATAATTATTTTTTTATAATTTTAATTTATCAGAAACATTACTTTAGCAAAATTCATTTATACTGCTCCTACTAAATGTTTTTGAGCAAATTAAGTTACGAATATCTTCGAACGGCAGGAAAGAATTTTTTAAGATTTTTTTTTTTGGTGCGCATAATTTCAAAGACTGTAATCGGTATTTAAACACTCACACTCTTCAAAATATTGTTATTGTTATACATGGTGTATGACTCGCTAATGTTTATTAGCTTACAATATACGACTGAACACAAAACTCAAAACGATATGTTTTAGAACATTAGGAATGGATGATATTTGGACAATTATAAGTTGTACATTGGAAAGTTTTGTCTGTAAATAACACTAACTTATTTTGAAATATTTTTATTCCATTATTGTGCAATTAATTAACATTTAAAGTTTACGAGGTTAAATTATTTTAATTGCAAATTTTGATGAAGTAGTTCTTGATATGGGAACACTTTCTTAAGAAGGAAATCAGTAGCTCTTAAACTTTAAAAGTCAAACGCCCTGTACACACACATTGTGGTTTTTATTATAATGTTCTTAAAAAGAGAAAAAGACTTTTGCTAAAAGTAACTTTCAAATCATTATTATAAGTATTCATCTGTAACAAATCATTAAGCGTTTCATCCCCATTAAATATTCTTCTTAGAATATTGTAAAGCGTGTTTAAGTTTTAATAGCATTAAACTTGGCAGAACTTTCGTGAGGAAACTTATAAATTTCGAAATTTCAATGTAATTATTATCAACACATGTACTTTGCCAACTTTCTTAATGGCTTCACGTTCAAAGTCCCAAGCTAAAATATGTTACGAAAAAAAAAAACGAGAAATTGAATTATTGTATAAATATACTACTAGTTATAAGTTGATATCGTTAATCTATACTCACTAAAATTTACTGCTACAAGGAAGTCCACAAAATATTCGTACATTTATATTGTAACGTAATAATTGTAATGTTACACTTAAGTTTTTTGTATATCATTCCTCGAAACTTTCATGTATGTTGTATTTTAGTACCGTAACCCTTGTTAGTCTTTATAATTTTTTTAACGATCTAAAATGTATAGCAAAACGACAATGTGGTTTGTTGTATTCTTCTTCTTGAAAACGTACACGACTCGCGCGTGTCTTCGGAGCAGTTTTGATAATATTAATAAAATACAATCGGCTGCTATAAGCTCCGTGCAATATAGCGAGTTTGTTATTGTGTATAAGACCGCCTCAAATTCATCTGTAGATGAATCAGTAAAGTGACCGCGGATGTCGCGGATCCGAAGAAGAATATGAATTTAAAGAATGCAAAGAATAAGTCAAATACTAAATATCGTTGAAAGAATGGGAAATTATTTTGTGATACTTTCTTGCCAGAAAGAATACAACAGGCTGAGGTAAAAAAAAAAAGAACATGATAAATGCAATGTTACTAATTAACAACTATACAAAAATAAATATTGTGTAATAGGAAGAGTCTGTTGACAAGAAAAAAAAATACCGTGTACATTATGTATTGCCTTGCGGCATTAATAAACTAGTACTAACATAAGAGATGTTTCTTATTTTAATAGAGGTATTCGCTTTAATCTTTCCATCTGTGGTGACGTCAAAAGAAAATAATAGGTTGGAGGCTGGATAAACAGACATTTTGCAAAATAATAATAATAATAATATAGAGCTTGAAGATTGATAACGATTTATTATATAATACTTAAAAGATACTGTCTAACGTTATATACAAACATTTGCAAATATTAAATTATTGTATGATATAAATTTTAAATGACACATGCACACATATATTAATATTTCGAAATTTATAAATCTATATTACATTAGTTGGTTGATTGGAATTATTCGTTGGTGGGCTCCTCGTCATTATTGAAGTAACCTGTAGCAAAATGAAATTTAAGTGAGAATGACACCTAAGTATAAGAAAAAAAATATATTATTTGATCTCGTAAAAATGTACATTTTGCAACACTTGTTTCCTGATGAAATCACTTGTGGCCGCTGAAATGTTTTGATCATTTCCCATTTTACATTTTATATAGCCGTATAGGTTCGCGCCATTTAAAACTATGGCAATGCAAACGAGCAAGAGCCATTTGAATTTAAAGCCAAATAACGCTGCGATGAATAGTATTGACCAAAAGAGTGGACACACGATCAGGGCAAACCAAAAGATTCGCGCCTCTGTTGCATTAATGCGGTTCTGTTGTGCACCCTGAAACACAGGGCACATAGCAGACGTTGGACTTACAGGACATATTAAATTTACTTAAATAATCTAAATCACATTTAAGCTAAATACTTTAGAGCTACGTATTTTATAAATAACCACAATAATCAGCAGCTGGAAAGGAACATTTGTTAGGTAAATGCCTATTTATAATCTAAATAATGCATACAAGTAGTTTTAGAAAGTGCCAAGGGCATAAAAATATATAACAGCTGGTAAACCTTGAACTACTCAATTCAATTAAATCAGTGTTTGCTGGAACGTGACAAATGAAAAAATACACTCGATAATTGAAAGCTACACTTGAAACGTAATCTATGGAAGTGGAACTTATGTGATATAAAATTGTGATAACATGACATAAGCTTTCATATATCATTTAGATACAGAATCGAACAATTTCCTTGTCACAATGTCAAAAGAGGTGCAAAAGGGGCGCTTTCTCATTAATCAGAGGCTTGTCATTATATCAAACGTATGACGACATAAATCAAACTATACATAAAAATGTATATAATAAAGCGAACCTTTTTAGATTCGAACACCCAGTGGCTTTTGCCATCGTCATCCACATAATTCCACCATCTAAGGCCGACCATTAATCTTCCCGTAATATTTTTAACCGTCCAAAAATCCATTGACAAAAGTAGGACCACTGTTACAAAGCTCGCTATGAAACTATTGGAAAACAAACCGCAAAGCAAATAAACTATTATAGCCGCTATCCTGAAGGCCAAGTGAAACAGCGTAACGTACGGGTGTCTAGAATTACAAGAACAGATATTTCATCTTACAAAAGGTACGGCCCACTTCCACTTAAAAGTTAGGTATTGTCTTCATTATTTGTACTTAAGCTTGTTGGAATTCTGAGCGGCCTCCTCCTCCTCTCCGAAAGCGATCGTGTCGTCATCCATCAGTAGAGGTACCTGTGAACGAGATCGCGGAACATTCGGTAAAAGGGATCGAGAAAGGGAGTATCGAGCATGCGGCTTATCTACATGCATTTATCATGCATGCTATTTGCATTTTGTTATGACGTGGATGAATAAACTCAAAGAGTAACCTGCAGCGTAACTTATTTGCTTGCTCAAATAAAGTAAAATGAAATATTAAAAAAAAAAAAGAGAACGAGACACGAAGTCGAACCCCGAGAAACATTCGCTTCCGCAAAGGGCGTGTTTACTGGTGTTACGAACCCTTCCCCCTCGGTGTACGCTAGTATACGTACGGAAATGCGCAAGCGAATGTCAAGAGTGACGACCTTCCACCGACTATCGCCGACTTAGAACTATTTACTCTCGGTCCCTCCGTAACGAAATGACACTTATATTTCGCTTCTACAGAGACAATCGGATACCTCGGGGGGTTAGGCACTACGACTAAAAAAAAAACATGTGGCGTCAGTATGCGGTCGAGGGGATCGCGGCGTTGTGCACCTACCGTTGCGGACGCCATGTTAGCAGCACGTTGACGTTCCGTCGTCGCGTCGTCTGCTGGGGCTCGGAGCAGCTCGGAGCACTCCGGAAGTTGGTGGCCTCCTCGAAGTGAACGACGCGGCGGCGCGGTCTCGGTCTCGGTCCCGTTGCGCAAAAATCGCGCGCCTGTTCGATATCTCGAAACGACGCTCGCGTTCCGGGCGTTTCACCGTCACATACCCCGATCAAGGCGAGCGCCTTGACATCGTTAATAAACCGGCAGGAAACAAAACCTCGCGGAACCTTGAGACGAAACGAAAGTCGCGCGCGACTAGTCGCTCGCGCTCGCGCGAGGACTCAGACGGCGGCGGCGATTGGTCGAGCGCCGGGAGGCGCCTCATTGGTCGCGCCCAAGTCTCTCTCGCCACGCGCTAGGGGCGCGCGCGTCGCGTTTCATGCACACCGTGGCGGCCAATCGTTGGAAGATATTAGAATCCAACTCGATTATTTAATCCACTTATTCCTCGATTGAATCTCAATTTAAATTCAAAACTGGCCTTGAATTGGCCATTAAGCACAACTCGTGGTAAATTATTTTCTAAATCATTATTTTTCCAATCACATTTAATCTACAATTATTTTAACCTTTCAATTTCATTCGAGACGCGGTCAAAAGTCGAATTTTAAATCAACTATGATCGATCGTGTAGATATAAGACGCGGCTGCTTCGAGCTCGGGGCAACCTGGCGATGCGGTGTTGGCTATGACGTGTGTACAAAATGCGTGCGTGCGCGCTACGTAAATACCGCGGCCCACGCGCGTCTGAAGATATTCGGAAGTCGCGATTGATGGTACCTACGCGGGGCGGCGGGGACTACGACGGGCGACGGGGTATATCTATATCGCCGTAACATGCGCACGTCGCGCGCGGCCGAACGACGCGACGTTGTTGGCGGTAGTAGGAACGGGGAAGCGCGGCGCGGTGGCGACGTGGTAGTGGGCTCGGGCTTCGACGCTCGTGCGTTGGTGGTGCGCGCGCGGTGGTTGAGATAAGCAGCGCGGGGGACTGAGTGTGCGACAACGTAGATCGGCGTCGGAGAGATCTCGCGCCCCGTTCCGGCTCTCGCGTTTACTCGCGTTCGCATTCGTACACCTACCGCCCGCTCGCTCCCGCGGTCCTCGCCGATCCGCTCGGCACACACGTACGGCAGTTCGCCGCGGGACACGGTCGACCGGGTTCGGCTGGTCTCTCTCTTTATCTCTCTCGCCCGATGTGACACGGAGGAGGTTCCGCGATGCTCAAGGATCATTCACCGATCGTCCAGGCGCTCCTCGGGACCCTGTTCACGTGGGCCCTCACCGCAGCCGGCGCCGCGCTCGTCGTCGTCATTCGGGGGAAACAAGTGAGTAAAAACCGTGCGGAGGATCCCTCCGGACGATCGCGCCCCGTTCGACGCTCCCTATGTCATTGAAATGTCATACGCGTCGCGCCCGAACTCCTGGCCCGTCGCCCAGGGCGACTTAACCTCACCGGCGCGTCCGCCCGTGCGCGAAACTCGCAACTTCGAGGCGAGCGTCGGACAATAACACAATTAATAATATTCTATAGTGCTCTCAACTGCACATCGTACACTCCTCCTGTGATAAACGCGCCTCCTTCAGCTGCACCTTCTGCACCTTTATTTTCATCTCCATCTGTACGATGTTAATTGTTTTAAAGTTGTTTTCTAGTAAATATGAAGAGAAGTGTAAAATTAATAAACACATTTACTTAATTTGTCTTCTCTATTCCTGCGTCGGAAATAAATTTTAATTCTTTTATTTACAAATGTAAACATTTTTTTTATTTACAAAATGTAAAAAAGTTGAAAAGACGCACGTCTACTGGGCAATATGATCAAGACCAATTGCTGTCGGTTCAGTTCAATTTTCGTTATTTCATAGAACAGAAAAACATTCATTATATTCTCATTTTGTAATTTGTTTTGTCACAACTCAGGTAGAACAAAAAAAAGGTAGAACATAGAAACAAATAACGTCACAATGACGTCAACCCTTACATTATTTATGACTTATAAATGATAAGTAAAGCCATAACTACATCCTTATAACAATCATATGATATCATTATGACTTTTGTGTTCTTGGAAATAAACACGTGTTACCAATCACATTCTTCTCCTCTGTTTGTAAATTCCTCGTACAAACACCCTTTAATCAATAACATGCAGAAAATGTGTGACATTTAAAAGTGACAGTGGTACCATTTCAATGGTAGCACAGCTGCAATTCGATATTTTCTGACGCACGCAAATTTTCAAACTTCGACCGTCGACGGCGGTCCTCGAAGGACAAACGTAGTAGAAAACTTCGGTCATTTACATAAGCGGGACTATTCCGGCGTGATTCTTCGTCGCATTTAAATTTAGACTCGCTGCTACTTCGATGAAATCGCCGCCGACGACGCGCGATTGGCGGGTCGGCGTAATCCGCCGCTTCCTTCGATGGGATTTAATTCGCGCGCGCGTACGAGTTGAATATATATCGTCGGAGAGAGTCGCAACTCGTCGTAATACTGCGGTGTATCGCGCGCTTTCACGTTCCCGTCCAGACGCGGATTACGCGCGGCCTTCTCGCGATCCATATGATTGGAAAAGTCGCGCAAATGACGATACAAGGGATTAAGAAAAAAAAAAAGACGAGAAACCATAACACCGCGTTCCGCCTGTTGGATGTTAAATTTTGCGCGTAACCGGTCTGAGCCGGGTCTACGCAACGCGCGGCAAACTTCGATACAAATACCATGTATACGAATTCCCGTTTATCAGGCTAATCGCTGCGTTCTGTTACGCGCTGCAAAAGCTACTGTAGAATTCTTAATTTACTACACTGGGAGAAAAAAAATGTATAAAATCAAAAAAATATTTCTTGATTATACACGGCAATCACGGGCTGTCGAACAATTTTTTGTTAATTTAACAAAATAATTGCTTTATAAAAACATCATGTTAATGTTGTTGATGTATGTTTAATTTAAAAACATTAATAATTGAACTAAGGAAAATATGTTAAAAACGAATTTAGTAACATTAATAACTTCTTTTTCAGTGTAATATTCTCAAAATTTATTCGAGACGATTCTCTAAAAATTTAATGCCTTATAGTATTATATTCTTAATATAATATTGGATCTTTTATTACGCTATTCACGCGTGTTAAGCTTATAGGAAATAATTTCTTTATCTCTTCACGAAAATCGTCTGATAAGACTTACTTATCTATCTATTCTTATTGTTTTTTTTTTTTCAATTGTTGATTCTTACTCAAATCTAATCTCTCGTTTTAGAAATTTTGGATGGAAATTCTATAGAAATTTTTCTTTCGAGACCGAATCGATATTTACTTTTAATATTAGGACATCTCATATTATTTGATCATGATTGTTTTAACAAAGAACTGTTTATTAAGCGAAGATCCGTCTTTAAGCTCAGGCTTAGAACGGATTTTCGATTCATTGTCCGTGCACTTCACTAATCTTGCCTGTATTATAATCGTCTGAATAAAGTTTGGTCACAAGAGGACAGTATTTTATCTTTCTCAATATGTTGAAGTATTACATTGCATCTCGTATAGTTTACCTTCGAACGTTGGGTCGGTGGCCTTCGATAACCTCACTTTTATTATTTCGCCATGCGCGGCTTAGGAATTTTATTCAGAATTTTGCGAGGTCGCATTAATAGTCCGCATGTGCGAATTGCGAAAACTTAAGTACGTTATACAGTTACACCTTGACAATTTGGTAGCAAATTTCTGCGCATTGGGTATTTTCCTCAAAGTAAGTATTTAACGCGGCGTGTTAAATACTTTGCGAAAAATATCCAATACGCAGAAATTTACTACCAAGTTATCAAGATAATTATGACGTAAATTACTTACGCAATTCGCACGTGTGAACTGTTAAATATATAAACTTTAGTCTACCTAATTTAAATTGAAAGAAATCTATTTTCGATGAAAATATTACTGGAAGAGCTTAATTTAAAAAAGTTGAATGGAAAAATCTTGCGAATTCAAGTTAAAGTTTGATTTTAATATCGTAGCGCCATTATTAATATCTTCACGCCATTGCGCGAAAGTTGATAGTCGCGTCGTTAGTTTATTTAATTTATTTTTTAAATCAATGCATTTTGTACTATCTTTTCCTTGTTCTGCAATCTAGATAGTGGATGATAGCGAAATAGATATAATTTTTCTGTCGCGATATCACGTCAATGGCTGATATTGATTTATAATTTTCACAGAAATGGCAACTAGTATTCAATATCCTCCTTTTCAGTAAATATCACACTACATTATCAACGGTATGATAAATCTCGTTTCTAATTTAACGGAATGTATTAGCACTGGGTGAACAGGCTACGATAAGATTGCAAATTTACATTGTCAAGTAGGCATAAGTCGCGGTATTAAAGTGGGAAAATAACTGCGTAGCGTGCATGCAAAAAGAATGAATGAAATCCTATATTACATCGATTGTCAAGGTTTGATTTTCTGAACTATAATAAATTGAGTTAAGGTCAATACGAGTTCGCCTGTGTGCGAACACAGATGTTCGTGCAGTGCCGCAATTATTAAACATCTGCGTTTGCATGCAGACTCGCTTGCTGGCCTTAATTTCATTTGTTATAGTTTTCTAATAAATGAGCGAATTATCTTCTTATTTGCCTATGGGCCTCATCATTTCCGAAAATGATGAGACCACCATTATATCATTTTAATTTTTTGATATATGCGATGCAATATATGATGCAATAAATTAACGCGCTTGTACTAACTAATTGTTATATGAAATTCGCGAAAATAACAAACAGATAATTGTTTATGATGTATAAGTTTCATATTTTAAATTACAAAAAATTGTGCAAGCATATAATCCACATAGATTGCTTTTATAATTTGCACGTGCCGAATTTCAATCGTAAATATATACAAGTATTAGTCTAACTTATACCCGTACATCGGGACTAGTAATAAGTTAGATTATATTACGTAGCTCACAAAATAGATCTATTAATTACGTATCCATTATTTCCCATATATATATACAAGAAATTTGAATAAAAAAGTCTTTTTTTTACTTAATACGAAAAATTCGTATTTTTCTGTGCTGTGAGATAAATATTCTGGAAGGGATTATATTTTGAAACATTTTTTTGTCAATGTTTGGCAAGATCTTGATGTTACATTTGCTTTAAGGATTATCTAATTGCTATCATAAATTTTGGATCAATTCGAGAGATTAGACCTTGACACTGCCGATCTTATATCCGCGTTTCGCGCACTGATATACGAGATAAGGTATGAAGTTGCTCATGAAATATTGACATATGCACGTTTTTTTATATTCTCTTAATAACTCTAATGTGTGTGTGTGTGTGTGTGTGTGTCCCATGTAAACACCTGCCGCACCCCTGATGTCTCGACGGAAGCAAAATCAGAGTTGTAGATTACCTTGAGTTTGGCAAGGCCAAAAAAGCAAATATACACGCGATTTCAAGAGAAATCTAGATTATTGCTATAATTGTCAATCAACGTTATTTTTATTTCAAGGCTCACAATACCGATTCCAGATATATATTTCGAAAAAGTAGCATACACTTTTAAATACTAAATACGAAAAGCAGGGAATAAAAATATTATGATAAATCATACTAATTAAGATCTAAACACGCAATTCTAGAGAGATAATTTTAGAGTAGATATATTATAATTTATTTATTATTTTGTTTTCTTAAAAAAATTAAAATTCTTATTAAGTGATTAATTAAATTGCTTTATGGCACACTAATATAAAATTTTTTATCAACAACTAAATTTATAAAACAATGTTCTGAAAATTCAAGAACAATAAAAATTGCAGAAGAGAGGAAAATGTCGAATGTGCCGTTCCAGATTTAGATCTGACAGCTTATTGGCAGAATCGCACGGATTAAAAGTAAATGACAAGAGATCAGGTTCATCCCCTTTCCCTCAGTCCCTTCACCCAAATTTTCGAGTACGGGAGCCGCCTCATGTGTCTATAATGATTCGTTTCCGTTTCAGCGCAAGCTGCTCGATGTCAGCCTGGGGTTCGCCGCCGGCGTGATGGTGGCCGCGAGTTACTGGTCGTTGCTGGAGCCGGCGATCGAAATGGCAACCGAGAGCAAGATATACGGAGCGGAGGGCGAGTACGCGTTCGTGCCGGTCGCAGTTGGCTTTCTCGTCGGCGCGGCGTTCGTATACGGGACGGACGTGTTGATATCCACCCTCGGCATTCAGTCCCCCAATGTGCTTTTAGCTATGCAATCAGTCGGTACGAAACAAAGACGCAAGATCATTGCGAAACTAAAGAGTGACGAGGACTTAGACGATGATTATGATCCGTTGTTTAACGACGTACAGATAGCCGGCGGAAAAATGTACGCGCGCGTCGAGTCGACCGCTATCGAGGGTATCTCATTTTCTTCTCGTAAAATCGCAGTTTTTTTTGTTCTATCTCTCTCTTTATGTAGGCTTGGAAAATGGGATCAGTTCGTGATGACACGTATAATATAATGTACATATATATACATATATCTTTGTGTATATGTATATGAACGTCCATGTACACTCGCCCCTCTTTGCTTTATCGCAGATATACCTGATTCTTATTCAGGAATAAGCATTCTCTCAAATTGTTACTCTCATGAAAATTGTCATACATCGGTCTGTTCTTACACAATCAGCATAAGTTACAATCTTTGCATGTAGCATGATCAAAAATGCTTCCAGAAAAAGTAATAGTATGGAAAAAATGCTTGATGAAGACCATGGTATAAACAAATATTTACAATTTTAATCTGGCCTCTAATCTCTCTTATTCTCTTTCTTCTTCTTTTTCTGATTCATGGGTGCAAAATACTATACAAGGGCTAAATTTAAAAATTTATTATTTTGTTTTCTTAAAAGATTAAAATTCTTATTAAATGATTGATTAAATTATTATATAACATCCTGATGTAAAATTTCTTAATAACTAAATTTATTGTATTATTATTGTATAATATTGTATTATTAATACTAATTTATGTAGAGATCATTGCTTATTCCAATTAAATATAGTGTTTGCATAAATTAATATAGTATATGTTTTCCATATAAGAAGTGACGTCCGCTAGAAATCTGAATAGTTGATTCATAATTACTCTAAAAGTACCCCTAGCTTTGTATTAGCATATGCATGATATCTCGTAGTGAATGTGGAACTGATACACACAGGTTCAATATAATTTAAATTTATAAATAAAAATGTCCGATCCAATCCAATTAAACAAACAGTTAAACTGAAACTATAAACCCCCATCGAGAGTGATATGTGATTAAAAATGAAACGACGAAAACAGTCCTAAAAATACTCAATTTAAACTTATTAATTAATACAAAGTGCACGCCCGCGTAAAACACAACCTAATAATATATATTTTAATAAAACAAAACAAAACCAATAAAAAAAATAAACATTTTGGATCTGTGTGGAAAGTTCTACAGAGCTTGAAAAAACTGATCTTATTAATCCTGCCTAAACAAATCCAACTGCAATGAATTTAATCGAAATATTATGTGCGTGAAGAATTCCCTTCTCTCTCAAAATCCTTCATCTTATACAAATCGCATTTGCATGAAGTGACCCTGTGCTCGTGGCTCAGTTTTCCGAAAGTTTCCGACGGCAGTGGTGCGGTTGTTAAATGTTATTGCGAATGTTTAATTTTTCAGGCTTCTACGAACAGAATAGTAGACGCCGACAAATCACGAATATAAACCGTACGTCGGAATCGGCGGAGATCGGAACCGTTTACGAGGATCCCAATAGCGAGGCGAAGAATAACCAGTGGCGGAGGATATTACTTCTAGTTGTTGCAATTACGGTATATTTCTACGAGATAATAAATAATCGTGCAAACCACGGTTTCTTAGACCTATATCTTACGTTACGCAATGACGTACGACTTAAATAATAATATATGTAACATTTCGATTTTTACAAATAGGTCCACAATATTCCTGAGGGTCTTGCGGTCGGTGTAGGCTTCGGGGCGATAGGCAGTAGCGCATCAGCGACCTTCGAAAGTGCAAGGTAAATTATGCGTTGATAACGAAAATGCCTACATACCGAATAGAATACGTAACTGCAGCCTGCATAGCCTGTAGAAAACCATAGCAAACAGAATTGAATCACATTATAGGAAACGCATAAACGAAATATCCGTTTATACGTTTATACAAAGTCTGCGTAACGTCCTCTAATAAGGGCGAATAATTGATAAGACACACGTTTGACAGATATAGGCATTTCTATCGGCATTAATCCTAGTACATTAATTTTTATTAAAGATTAATTATTGAGACAATATAAAAGCATAAAAATAATTTAATGTCGAATATTATAATAATTATCGATTAAATTTGACTATCAATTAAAAGGTACACGTTAATTGAAGAAAAAGGTCTCAACAAAAAAATAATGTGCTCCCCGGTTACGTGATGACGCGATCTACTAACAATGTTTAATAAAGACTGCACTAATATTACTCGTTTAGATCAATCTCGCCTATTCAATGGATTAGGCGAGAGTCAAGAGGGTTAAATATGAAGTTGGTAAAACGGCGGATTTTAAATATCGCCAGATAGTGCCCGCGTATATTATATTATTTTTATACCGCGACCCGGTGAAAAGAAAACGAGTTCGGAATTTAAAAAGCGAAACGCGATCTCACCGTTTCGATTACAGAGTCGTGGTATTTATATACGCGTGATTCCGAGCGCATCGGAATTTATTTTAATTACTGACCAGTTTCGTATAAAGTACGGACGTTATTAGAGAAATACCGGACGGATCTAAAACGGCATCAATAAAAATAGTTTTACGCCGTAGTAAGAGACGGTCCTGTTTTTTTTCCCCGTGTAGGAGATAAGCAACAGGTTTTATATCGGTGAACAACCCAAGCTAATCTAACCGCAGTATGCGCGCTAATAAGAACAGGACATAAAAACTTCTGTCGAAGAGAATCGAAGAAATTATCGAACCAAATTATCGTACTAAATGAGAAATCCGTATCGATGAAATGCTCTGTTTGAATTAATGAGAATTGAATCTCTTTGTTTTTATCGCATTCCCTTTTCCACAGGAAATAGCTTTCGAACTTCACGAGCTCTCTGTTACCGACCGCGTGTATACCGACCGCGAGTTATGTCGTAGCGCCCCCGAGCACGTAAGTCTCGAATTCCCCGCCAGATGGCAGCGACGTGAAGTGTCCGTGCTCACGCTCAGTAGTATTGTCCGTGATGGCGCGGAAAAATTTAGACGTAGTTCCTCTACGAGTGGAGTCGAGATTTACTGATACGAGCTGTAAACTTTCTTGGCCCGTCTCGTTTCGAGTGTTTCGTTCGCCCTCGCGTCTCAAGATATCCAATTGATCGGAATCTCGGTCAGCGGAGCCGTGGAAAGCGGAGTAAAAGGAAGATCGCGAGCATTCCTGCATACGACTTCCCTCGCACCTCCCTCCGCCGCCATCTTTCCCCGTCCTATTAGCGGCAAGCCGGACAGAGCGTAAGAGTAAGTGCGAATTTTGCATTCGATCTCGACGAGAATCCTCGAGCCCCGATGCGACGACCTGCCCGCGTCGTTCACGTCGCATTACGTCGCGAGGTCGCGCGAGAGAGGAGCGCGATTGACGCGCGAGGAGAAGCTGGGCCCCGGCCGGCCTCGGCCTGGCGCGGCGTGGTAGGAGGTCCCCATGAATGAGCTCTATGGTGGTCGACCGCGGCCGCCAGTTGGAGGCGAAGTTTATTGGCTCCGGTCGGTGCCTGCCTGCGGCGCGCGGGCGCGCAGGGAGTGAAGGGCACGTGTGGCCCTGGAATCCGACGAGCCCTAGGCGCCGCGCATTCCATTCCAGCGTTCCCTTCCCCTTCCTCCCCCTCTTCCCCCCTCCCGCCCCTCCGTCTCTCTCGCTCTGCTCACCTACCTACCTACCCTCCCCCTCCCGCGCCTACGTGTCCCGCTTCTTCTTTCGCGCTGCCTGCTTTTCCACCTCACCCCGCGTCGCGTCAGCTCGCTCTAACTCCCCGTCTTCTCCGGGTCGGTGTCTTCGAACTCGCTTTCTTCCCTCGAGCCGCGTTTGCTTTTCGAGAATTTCGCCGTGTGTATAGGTACGTCGCGACGACCCACGTCGCGTCGCGTGCGAGTGAGGGACTCCACGAAATCCTCTCTCGAGAGAACTTTTTTTTTTTAGAAATTGAGATTTCTGGAGATCTCTCGGTAATTATCCTCTCTCACGGATACTCCGGATTGACACGCTTTGACCTAGGTCCTATAGGAAATACATTTTCGATTATTTAATTATACTTCTATTGACGTAATCTTATTGATTCGAATGCGGTTTTGTAAAATCAATCGCGAACTCTTGCTCCACGGAATATCAATATTTGCGAATAATGTGTTCGTTAAAACTTAGAAATTAGATACGAATCGGGAAGCCAAAAATGTAATTCATTAGCTGTCAGTCTTTATTTGTTAGCCAACAATTTATTATCTTTTATATTATTTAATTAAGAACAATTATATAAAAGATAGAAATATGCCGGATAATCGGTTTAGACCAGAAACTATTTTACATTTATCGTTTATATTTTCTATTTAAGAGTAAAAATTGATCTTGAAATTAGATAAAATTCAGTCGAGTTTGATATCAAAGATCAATATAAAAGAAAAATCAATGAATTACAGATATGCGGCATACGAGGCGCAGGTGTTTAACATGTAATATCTTCGTAATATGTAATAACATGACGTTTATATCACGGAAAGAATGATTTTGCCGGAAAGTCAAAAAAATTTCTGAAAATAATTTTGGGCCATCAAAATAGTTTTGTTGAAAATTCAACATATTGAAAATAAAACATTGCTGTAAAACGTTTTAACATTCTAGCAATCAGTTTGAATTTCCAACAAAATTATTTTGGTCCAATAAGAATTATCTTCAGATCTGATTCAGCAAAATTTTTAGACCTTCCGGCAAAATCTCTCCTTGTAGCGCCGCACCTAGGCGGCTTTATATTCTTCCTAATGAAGCTACAATCGCGCAAGGTTAATCTAGCGAGAGATCTTAATGCGATATTGAGCAAGAGACTTGAAGCTTATCATCGTATCGAGTGAACGCATACGCGCGCGTGCGCACGTGGCTGTGCACGTGCAACGCGCAAAGCGTTATTTCCGATTCGGAACCCGATCTCCGGATTATTGTCGTTTGACGTGTACGAACCGCCATGCAATTCGCATAGCGCGTTCTATACATGGGCATTCTCGCTGCTCCTGACGACTTATTTATGATCGTTACGTGATTCGCGAGTGGATACGTGACACATTACGCTTACAGATCGCTTCTTACACAACGGCCGACGTTAACTGAGCAACCTTTCTCCACGTTATTTCGTATTGAGAATCAAACGTTAGTCTCTCCCTCCCTTCCCCCCCTCTTTCTCTCTCTCTCTTGTTGAACGTTGACGAGAAAATCGGAAACCTGAGGGACGTGTGGTATTTCGCAAACACGCAGAAGATCAACGTATACCCGCGGAGCTCCTTTGTTGCTCGGGCACAGGCTTTATTCTTTATTCGAAGCAAATGATTTACTCGCGTTGTAAATAAGATTATACAGGAGGGAAGTGGGCAATATATTTTTGTTAATCTTGCGTAATAAACGAATGATAAAACCGCACACAATAGCGATAAGCGGACAGACAATATAGAGGCGAATGGACGGTAGATAATGATGCGCGCTGTCTTTCTCTCATCCTCGCATGTTTCACTCACTGTGCTTCACTCACAAGTGGTCCATGACTAAAAGAATTGGTTAAAACAGATACTGTTGATTCACGCTGATGTTTCACGATCGACTTGTGAATCATGCTATTTCTGTATCTCAAAATTGTAATTGTCTCAAAGTAATCTTTCTATTTGTCCATTAGAAAAGCAAGGAGCTGCTAGATTATTCTACACGATACTATTAGAGAAACTTGGCGATAAAATTATTTTTATATAAAAAAAATTTTTTAAGGGAAAGAATATATTTTATCATTTAAATTTTGAATTATTTATGGAAAATAGATTTTTACGAAAATAATACCATCAAATATGCAAATGTTATTCATCGTTAATATTAATTCTCACTTTTCATGTATGTGTGATGAAATTGTTAATTTCTCCTACATATATTCTGTTAGCATATTGCGACAGGCATGATCGCATGATACATAACACTAATTTCAAAGGAGAATGCGAAAACGTCATTTAGTTATCGCAACCAGAAGTCGCGAGCGACGGTTAATCATGAACGGAATAACTGTTCCGCCAGCGGCGATGTAATGCAAAATTGAGCAACGTCACCTGCATCCGATGACAATGGAGATAAGAGCGTTCCCGGGGACGGTTGAAACGTCAATGAGAAACCGGGCAATTAATACCGCCGACGAAAGCGCCCGGAATTTTCACGCGACGATTGCAACCCGATCTGGGAACTTTCGCGTCGCTCTCGGGAGGTAATTAGCGCTCGTCACCTTAAAAGCGATCGAAAAACGAAACGGTAGTCGTGGGGCTCGCGTAAGGCGGCAGCCGACATCCATTTCGGAAGTGAAACTTCCCACGGTGTGCGTGCGCCCGTTATTGGCAAGTCCTAATAAGAGAGAAATTCTGACAACGGCACGCAACGGCGCTTTGTAACGCTTTTGGCGCTATCGAGCTACCGAGTAGTAGTTGGTCCTGTTTCGACCACGCCGAGAAAGAAAGAAAGAGAAAGGGACGGAGGGGGAAAGAGAGAGAGAGAGAGACACGCTCTCGATGCTCGTTTGGAAAAATCGTTCAGCCTTGGGCGACCCTAGCCCATGCCCTTTTCTGTCTCGACCAGTTCGTAACGAACGACATACCATTCTCACGACGATTGCGATTAACCCCCTTGGTCCTGCATATATTTTCAGCTGCGCTGCAGGTCCGCGCCGCGGAGTTCGCTGTATATGTACAGGGCGGCCCCGGTTAGCCGCGCTCGCTTTTAACGACGGACCTTGTATGAGTAACTAAGAAGGGCG